GATTTATAAATTTTGATAATTGGAGTTGGAATAATAATAATAATAATAATAATAATAATAATAATAATAATAATAATAATAATGATAATAATGATAATAATAATAATAATAACAACAATAATAATGATGATGATGATGATGATAATGAATTAATTTCTACACCAATTTCTACTACTAAATTTGATTTCCCAAAAAATTATAATCATGGTGAAAATTATAATTATAGTAATTCACCTATTGCATCACCTACATCACCTATTAATGAAGATATTATTTGGGGGAAAAGGGATAATGAAAAAGGTGAATATCATGAAAACGGTAATATGGAAAATACTTCATTATTAGATGATATATATTTTAATGATTATAAAGTTGCATTAATTAAACGTTTATTACAGGTAAATAAAAATTTATTATTTCTTTTATATTATTTTTTATTTATAATTTTTTTTATATATATACATTTTATTATTATTATTATTTTATTATTATTATTATTATTATTCCAACTCCAATTATCAAAATTTATAAATCCACTTGATATTCTACTATCATTATTTAATATAGGTATATCAAATACGGTGGTTCTTCTACGAGATTTTAATATATGACGAGGATTTTTGATCATTGATTCTGGAGTAAATTTCCAAGTTCTAACTAAATGAAGAGCTAATAATGGACATCCCATTCGATCATATGCAAATATACTACGTAAAACGAAAAAATATTCTGTTTCTGGTGATATTTCTGATGCTCCACGAAGAGTTTGTATAGATTTTTCTTTAAGTTGTTTGTAAAGAACTATAAGTGCTGCGTCGGGTGATTCCGTAGGTATTAATGATGATGGTGAAGAAATTGATGTGGAAGATTGTGTTGAAGAAGAATTATTACTTAGAGTTCTTAGAGTTTCTAAAGGTGCCTATAAAATTTATAATTCAAAATATAATTCAAGGTGTAAGATAAAATAAATAAATAAATAAATATATATATATATATATATATTATATTATATATATAATAATAAAATTAAGAAATTAAAATTTAACCATTATAGCTTTGACAGCTCGATCTCTTTGACCTAGAAACCAAAAAGCTAAACTAGCCAACCATCGATCTCCCGTTGAAATGGCTAAAGGAATAATATATTCTTCAAATACACTCTTCAAAATAATTCCGTCATCACCTTTAAAATTACAAAAATATATATAAACGCACGTGAAATAGGAAATGAAAATAATGAAAATAAAGAATATGATAAATATGAAAGGAATATTTATAATACCTTCATAAACTCGACATATGGCAACAGCCAATTGAAAATCATTTAAATGTTTCAAACATACATTTACGGCATCTTTTAATCTATCACCAAGAAGAAAGAAAGCAGCCGCATATTCTATAAACATATTATTATATTATATTATATTATATATTAATATATTATTATTATTATTATTATTATTATTATATTATTATTATTATATTATTATTATATTATTACTATTATATTATTATATTTATTCATGAATATAAATAATTATGTAAAAATTTACCAAATCTTTGTTTCCCTAATAATGCATATGCATTTTTTAAAGCACAAGTTTTCCATCTTGGTTCATTGAAATCATTTGCTAAAAATTTTAACATTATAGATTGTTCTTTATGATGATTTGCTGTTTTCCATAATCCTGACAAAAGTTTTCTTTTTCTAAGTGCCATATAGAACAATGAACAATCCGTAGG